GGGGGGGGGGGAAAAAGGGGGTTTTGGAGATTAGTCAGCTTGGCCCTGGGAGACAGCTCCCCTCAGCCGAGCAGAGGAAGACGGCTGAGGAAGCATCCCACCTCAGCCCCCGGAGAGAAGCTGTGCTTTGTTATAATGTGACAGTGCACACACTGCCACCGCCAGCTCGGCCACAGAGGCAGACCAGGTGGTCCACAGGAAAAGCGGTAACAAGGGCTGTCACTGGAGAAGTGAGGGTGACTTTCACAGGCTGCGGTGGACAAGCACTTCCTTTCCAACCAGCCTGGAACGAGGTGCTCTTATCCCCACTGTTCAGGTGAGAAGACTGAGGTTCAGAGAAGTAGTTCATGTGAAGTCCCACATATAATGGGTGACAAAGCTGGAGGATGGACCAAGGCTATATGACTCCACATCGCACGCGCACCGCCCCTGGGCATTTTTCTGCACGTTCGATAACACACACCCAGCACATCCTACTATGACTTCCTTCTCTGTATGCGCATGCGTGCACAAACGACATCTAGAATATGTGTCCAATGTACTACTGCATGAAAAAGTCTTCAGATAAGGTCTACATGGCTTAGAAAGTAAAGGCTTCAACTGAAATTAAAATAAGAAATGAGGAGTGCCTTTAATTCTAAGTGGGCCTTCTTCCGGGAGTTTTACAGAGCTGTCTAATTCCAGAGATTTCTAACAGAGATGAATAATTTCACACTGGAAAAGGCACTGGTTATTTATCGTGTTTGCTACAGAATATGCACATCTCACTCACACACTTCCTCTCGGTTTTTAATTTTACTCAGAGGAAACAAAAGCGCTCTTAGGTAATGACCTTTGCCAGAGCCGTTACAGCAGGCTGCAGGCTGCCTCACCTTAGGTCATGAACCTGGGCTCCAGGGCCCTTCTCATAAATGCCAAGTTCCCTTCTTCACCTCAGGCCGATGGACAGAATTTTAGTTGCCTGCTTTCTTTGGTTCAGAAGAACTTGATTGAAAAATCAGATGCCTGCCTTTTAACAACTTGTGATGCTATAATTTCGTTGCAGGAAATAGCACTACCCCAGAGGTCTGAACCTTTCTGGATCTTGGCTGTTAATTTCCACCTCCTGAAACACCATTTGAGACAGAGTATTGGCCTTTTCACATTAACCAGCCATGGGCCTGTGCCACCCGGTTGTTACAGTCTAGGCGGGAGAGGATGGTAGACTGAGCTGGGCGGCAGCAGCGGGGTTTGAGAGCAGGGTTGGATTTGCTAGATATTTAGGATACAAAATCTCCATTCTTTTGTGAAAGATCAGATTGGGAACAAGAAAAAGAAGGGAATGTTAGGAATGACTCCCAGGTTTGTAGGTGGCACAGCAGGAATTAGAAAATATTTCTATTAAGTTTTCTTTTAAACACCCTTGAATATCGACCTAATTCAATCACTTCTAATAAAAGAAGATTCCTATTGTTCTGGAATTTTTAAACTTCTGATTCCTTCTGTCTACAAAACATATATTTTATAGATTGAGATCATCAAAGCACCTTGTGAGCGTCACTAGCAACCACATCTTGAAGGTTTACATGAAACCCCCACTATGGAAACCGAAATAAGAAATAGTTATTCTCTGAAGAGACACTAGGGAGGAGAGGAAAGGTCAAGAGAAATCCTTAATTTGGGATTCCACAGGTACTTACCAAGGCTCTACTGTGCATTTAGAATCATTACAGATGAGCAGAGGAACCAGTCAGGCAGCTCAGAGGCCATTCTCACGCACTGGCTTGGCAAGTCTGGGTTAAACACTAATGACCCTGTTTGCTGAGGAGATCCTGGAATGGCTTATTAACCACACCGGATAAGCTAAACACTCGAGCAGCTTCGTCGTGGATAAGTTACCATTTATCACAATGACAAGCAACAGAGGCTAGAACAAGCTCTAGGGGTTTGTTCTTGGCTCTGCTGCGCTGACTCCTGGCAGGGCGTCAAGACAGTTGGGTCTCTGCTTTAGCTTCTGCATCTATTCAAGCCAACAAGCTACCATCTGACACACACCTCTTGCAATCCTACCAGGATCCGAAACGTAACAGTGAGCTCACATCGGCCGTGCGCTTTCACGAGATCTAAGTACCAGCTGAGGCACCTAACACGGAAAGTACTTAATAAGCCCACATCCCCGGCCCTTAGAGCAAGGCACAGTTTGGGACAAACTGACTGAACATACTTCTAAGTCTCAAAACCACCTCAAAACCAAATTCCATGTTATGGGTCATAAGGGAAAGCAATTGCTACAGTTTACGTGTTTTGTTATGTACGTGTGTTATGTGTATACAAACGTGTCTGTGTGAATGGATGTGTGGGGCTAAAACCTCGATCCAGTGCTCCTAGCAAGCTGATCTTTCCTGGTGGGGGTGGGGTGGGCTGGGGCCCTGTCCTTGGACAGGAAGGCTGCTCACTGCTCGGCCAACCCTAGGGTGCCCATAAGGCTAACAACCTCAGTCAGGACCGGTTCCCCGATTCGTGCTCCCTAAGTCTCTGCTGAGGCCTCTCCTGCTCTCCTTTCCGATTCTGTGATCACATGGTCTGTTCTTGACACTGATCACCAGAGATGGCTTATTTGGGGTCTCTCTCTACAGGACATGAGTTCTTTCTAGAAAACTAAAGACACACTGGAGAGAGATCAGCAAGGAGAAACTGAAAGGAAGGGTGGCGAGGTGCAGGGCCGTTCCAGCTGTGGGCTGAGGTCCCCTACCTGCAGGGCCAGCCGCACGACACTGGACGTGTAGGTCAGCATGCCGTGCAGGATGTCCAGCAGGGAACACAGCAGCGCGCCCGCCATCTCGTTGTTTTTATTGGCCACGTCCAAGCACAGTGTGACCGTCTCGGTGAACAGGTAACAGACATGTTGGACCAGCCCTGGGGGTAAGAAGGAGATGGGCAAAATATTCACCATAAATTATATACATAATGTGTCCTATAAACCCACTGGAGCAGGCACGTGTACTCCACGGTGCACAAGCACCAAGCAGTCCTTCCGCCGCGCTGTGTACCAGATACATGTGGGAAAGTTTTGTAAAATGCAGGTTTCCAGGCCTCACCCCCAGAGATACTGTGCAGGGGCCCAGGATGAGGCCTAGGCAAGGGTTCCCCAAAACTACACTTTGGACAACACTACCCTACACGGTCGCATCTTGTTTCCAGCTTTCTGGCAGAGGAGATAAATGCTAGTGAGGAGGATTTCAACAGGCTAAAGTCACACTGGAAGTCAGGTCACGCTATAGAGGGGCCGGTAAATGCTTGCTTAAGTGCAGCCATAAAGCAGCAGCTGGCCGAAATAACCGCAGCGGAGAAGACATGGGGAAACAGTGCAAACACGAGAGCACAGACAAGCAAGTCCCGTGACACCCAGAGATTCTCGGCACTTGTCTCTCGGTGAGAGAAACACACATACAAAATCAATACACAGAAAATCAGCTAAAAAAACATCTGAACAGCACTCCCACTCACCTTGGGGTCAACAGATTTTACAGGCTACTTATCCACAACTGCAGAAGACACATTCCTTACCTGCACACACAAACCCTCAAGACTGGCCACGTGCCGGGCCAAAATATTAGGTCTCAACAGATTCCAAAAAGCTCAAATCTTACACAAGGTGTTCTTTCAACACAACAGGAAAATCAATAACAAGGAAGTACCTAGAAAATCCCCAAATGTATGGAAATTAAACAATAAACTTCTAAAACGCCCATGGGTTAAAGAAATCACAGGGAAATTTTTTTAGCTTGTCAGGATGATAAAAAAAATATAACAGTGCTTAGAAAGGGATCTGTAGCTCTAAACGCTGGGAAAGAAGAAAGTTTTGAAATAAATTCTATAAATTCCCACCTTAAGACTCTAGGGGAAAAAACACCAATTACATCCAAAATAAATAGAAGGAATTAATAAAAAGAAAATATCAATGAGACAGAAAATAAACATTAAAGAGCTTCTTCCTTTAAAGACTACACTATATACTACACTTTTATAAGACTTTTACCAGATGCAGAAGACCACATATTGTATGACCCCATGTATGCGAAAAGCCCAGAAAACACAAATCTATAGAGACCACACGCTGAAATGGGAAATCTGACCCAGCAGAAACCTGCCCTAAATCGTGTGAGTCTGTATTACTTTCTGTCTTATCAAATTTGGTGACAAATATCAGGCTCAATTAAGGTGGGCTCTGTTACATGCCTCCCCCTGGGCACAGTTTGTTCATCCATTCTGTCATTTCCTTGCCAATACTGTTACTGAGCCAGGGACTCAAGTCTCACAGGTAAAGTGCAACAACAGAACATTGGTTTTCAGAGTTATTCTTATTGTGAACAGGAAACACTGTCAGGGCAGAGCCCAGAGAGAGAATGGCTTCCTAGAGACAAAGGTGTCAGACAAGGGTGCATTTTATCTCCTTACCTGTTTAACCTGGACACAGAGCACATTAAATGAAAACCTGGGCCAGACTCAGGAAGGAGTAAAACTTGGTGGAAGAAATACAGCTTAAGATACGCAGGTGACACCATCTTACTGGCAGAAAGCAGTAAAGATCTGAAATGACTTCCGACGAAAGTGAAAGAAGAAAGCGCCAAAGCAGAGCTGCATTTAATAGAGAGGCATTTTAGAAGTACAGAGGTATTTTCAAACCTTTTCTTTTGGAGCATTTGATTTTGAGTTACGACTGGGAAATGCGGTTGGTGGGGAAGGGAATGCTCGTCCCCTTCACACTGGCATGACTCTTCCTTTCTCCCTTCCCATTTCTGCTGAAATGCCACCCTAAAAGAAGGCCTCCCTAGCCATCCCGCATCCACGTGCTCGTCTCCCACGTCCGACCCCTTACTGTCCATGTCAAACACAGAGCCTGACACACATTCGACACAGATCATTTACTGTCTCTCTCATCCAGAGGGAATTAGTTCTCAACAAATATTTAAATAAGAGAATCTGTGAATTACTAAGCAAATGGAAATAAAAGCCATTTCTCTTGCTCTGGACTATAAACCTGGCCCAGGCCCCCGCAGGGAGGGGTGCAGGTGTGGAAGCGGGAGCGGAACTTTGAATTTCAGTCTTGGTCAGTGCCGAGCGCCTACTGATTAAACCCACAGGTTGCACAGGAAGAAAGATCATTCCATCCCGTCCTAGCATCTCTAGCAGCCTAAATGTAACTAATGATATGTTTTATTACACAGAATAGCTTTTAGAGGGGGAAAATACATGGTCACAATCTCACTGTAAAAAAAAAAAAATTCAATGAACTCTGCTTGAATTTGAACATGGCTACATAACTATATAGTTATACTTTTATGTAAAATGTAAACTACAAACACATTTAGAGATAATGTCTCATTTGTAGAAAGGTCATTTTGAATTTCATCGTGGGTTGTAAATATAAAGTTTACTGAGTCGTTGCATTCTATCCTAGATCTGCACGTGTGTGTATATAATTTTCACATGCACACACATACATGCACACACTGTCCATTAAAGAGAAGGAAATGAGCATTTCCTCAAAGGCATCTATGTGCCATGTTACTTCTCAGCATAACTAGACGCTGATGATATCGCACCCATTTTACAGATGAGGAAGTAGTTCACACATGTGCCCTGGCTGCGTGTACAAGGTCACGGAGTTACCAATCTGACTTGCTGCATCTAGGGTACACATACACCGAATGCTTACACACACTCTGCACGTATCATCGATACGAAACATTTTAGAAAACCTTTTTACTGATGTGCAGTAGACATGTAAAAAGGTACAAAAATCTTAAGTACACACCTAGATGAATTTTCCCAAGCACGCCCACGTAAGCAGCCTGCAGCTTGAGAAAGAAAGTCGCCAGCACCCAGACTCCTCTTGCGCTCCCTCCAGACATCCTCCCGCCCCAAAGTCACTGCTACTCTGACTTCTGACATCAAGGATTAGCGGCCTGGTTCTGCAGCTTGTGTACCTGGAATCACACGGTATGTTCGTGAGACCCACCCCTGCTGACAGCAGCTGAGGGTCGTGACTCTGTGGCTCTGTAGCATTTCCCTGTGTGACTACCCCACAGCAAGTACTAGAAGAAATTATTCTTATGAGCGCCTGGCTCACAGTACGGCTATTCCAAAATCGACGCTACTCACAGCAGTTCCAGATTCTACTTCTATCAAGAAACAGCCAAATGATTACTTTTTCTGTGAGTCACTAAAGAAGAGATGTGCTCCAGGAGATCTATTCTTGACAGAAATAATTTGCTAGAAATGATTTCATTAAAAATAAGTGAAAGTTTTGATGGATTACCTGCTTTGATCTGAAATTTATAAAAAAAATTATTCTCGGGGGAAGGTTACAAAGATAACTCCCTCAAGCAAAATTTGTTCCCAGCATCATTCACTGGCAAATGACTGCAGTAGGGTCCTTGAGTGGCGGAAAAGTATAAAGTGCTAAAGGAAAAACAACGACAAAATTAAACATACACACACAAACACAACTGTGTGGATAGGTAACATTTGTGGAGCATGAACCTGGTGCAGGGCAACATTCTGACTTCTTTTACGTTCTTTACCACGTAATACTCGCAACAACCCCCTACACTGGATGTTGTGATTAAACCGATTGTTCCCAGGGAAGCCACTGAGGCACAGAGAAGAGCTGCCCAAGGTCACAGTGACTGTTAACTTCAGAACCAGGAGTTAAACCCAGGCAACGGGGTCAGGAGAGCCCACTCTCAAACACGAAGCCGGTTCTGTGGTTATTTCTATCAAAACGAGATCTTAAGAACAGGCAAATCTTTATAATATTTTGTAACGCTGTAAAGTGATCAGCAGATGGCCGGTTCACTGCTTATCTGAGATCTTAAAAGAGCTGCTAACCCTGAGCGTACCTTACCCAGTTTCTGCCTTACGAAGAGCTACTGGCTAAGATTCTGTGCGACGGCAAACAAGCTGCCAGTGTACTGCCTAACAGATGCTCACACACACGCACACCCTCCTTCACATACGTGCTTAACCTGTCCCTCCAGGGAGAGGTCCTAACGTGGAGGGAACAGCTCCCTACTATAGAGAGAGCATTTGGGAAAAGGCTGAGAAAGGACCTAGCATCATCTCATGGGGTGGCTGAAAGTACTGCGAGTTTACTCCCTAAAAACCTCAAACCTACACCATAGAAAGGTCGGACTAAGAGGAGAGGCCTTTAAATAAACAGTGCAGAAGATGGAGGTGAGCCATGACCATTCTGTCCCACCAGAGACACAGTGAATGTGAGAAGTTTCATGGATACGCATATGAAAGATAAACAATAAAAGTTCTAGAGGAAAGCGTAAGAGAAAACCTTCATGACTCTGACACAGGCAAAAATTTCTTAAGCAAGGCACAAAAAGCATCAACCGTAAAAAGTATAAATTAGATTTCATAAAATTAAGAACATCTGCTCATTAACTTTACCATTGAGGGGTAATAATGGCATGCTTCTGAATTAAATTATTAGAATTTTGATTTGAAGAAAATATTTGCACTACACATATCCAACAAAGGAATCTTACCTACAATATATCAAGAAACCTACAAATCAGTAAGAAAAACCCAGGTAAGCCAGTTTTAGAAATGAGCAAAAGACACACACAGGCACAGGAAAGGAAGCCAAATGGTGACCCACATATAAAAATGTTACATATTAAAAACACGAGCTACTACTACCCACCAAGAGAAAGACTGAAATTTAAAAAACAAATACCAAGTGTGGAGGACAATAGGAATCCCCTTATGTTGCCAGTTTGTGAAACACTTTAGAAAACTGTTTTTGCAAAACCTACTGTAAGACTAACAGACGTCTCCCGCATGTTTCAGCAATTCCACTCGCAGGTGTACATATGTACGTGTGCATCTGTGTGTGTGTC